GAAATTGGGATGCACTATAACGTTGACGCTGATAAGCCTGTAGGCAGACATTTGTGGCTGTCAAACCACAAGAATTTGGTTGGTCTGCCCGCAGATCCGAATCGGTCACCACCGGAAAGCCAGATGTGATCTGGCGGGGTCGGCGCGTAAAAGACGAACGCCGCCGACGTGGCAGAGAAGGTTGTAGGTAAGACAAAGATCAACACGACGTCGAGAGGAAGGGGGACTGGCCAGAGAAGGACGTCGGTAAGACAAGATATATATATACATGTATATATCTTTGTGTGTGAGTGTGTGACTCAGTGTGAGTGTACGTTAGCGTGTCTGAGCGTGTGTTTTGCGGCAAGAGTTCGGACACATTTTCGCGCCAAAAGCAGTGCAGAAATGTGGACAGATTCATCGGAAAACGTTCCCTGCTCTCTCTCTCTCTCTCTCCCAGAGAGCGAATCTGCCCACATATCTGGACTAAATTGTGGTCAGACTCTTCCTGCGGAGGAATAGGAGGGCAAGGTGTAGATGGAGAGAAGGGCGTACGCAGAGGACTTGTCAGGGCGCAAAGTGGAGATGGAGAGACAGGAGGACCAGGAGAAATCTGTCCTGCTGTGACGGCAGGTCCCGTCCTTGGTCTGGACAGGGTCTGGGAAGTGCCGACCTGAGTTTTTATTGCCTTTTCGGGCCGGTTTTGCCTTTCAAAACAGAAAAACTGATGCGGCCGCAGTTGTTTCTTTTTTCTTGGCTGGCGCCACCAGCTTCACAGCCCCAGTAGGCCAATCCCGTATTGATGCAGCGCCCCACTTGCACACACTACGAGAGACTTGACGTCTATATCCAATTATCTCTGCGAGTGTGGCCTCGTCCCGTCTGGCCAGCTTCCCGTCAGGTCATTCAACAACATCTTACGGATGGCCGACCTCTGTTCAAAAGCCGCGCCTTTTTTTCTTTTCAGCCCTCCGAAACTGCTCGCCGCCTATATATGGGAAAGGTACTGGTGGTTTAATTGTTAGTATCCGCGCTCTCTTCTTTTTCCAATCATACTTCCGTCGCCGGGAGAGGTCCCACTTACTGTCATCCTTCATTTCTGGCAGTCTAAAACACACGATCAACGGCCAGAAGCAAACAGAAGGCAAGGATCATGGTGAGTGTCGTGTTGTTGTTCTCCTTTTTTCCTCACAACTTGTTTTGCCTGCTGCGGTGATCACCGGAGAGCATGTATAAACAGCACCGTTGGTTTTCCTCTTGGATGCTAGAAGCAGCTCTTGCGGTCCCGTTGTCGGAGTAGTAGACTAAGTGTCTATCTCCACTCTACTCCGGACTCTCCAAAAAATTGAGGAGTCGTTCGGGACATCCTTTAAAATTGGAACGATACAGAGAGAGAAGATTAGCAGGCCCCTGCGCAATCAAGGATGACAATCATAAATCGAGAAATGGTCCCAAAAAAATATTCAGTGGTTTGCTTTGATGAACTTAGGATTTGGAGTGGATGGTGACTGACGTGTCTCTCGTATGTGGAAGTTAGTGGAACCCTGTCGAAAAAAAACACAAAATTGGGCCGTTCTTGGAAAGCTGAGCTGTCAGACTCTGAGAATTCGAAAAACTGATCACTGCTACACTCAGGACATGCTCAGGCCACAACTTTCCGAAACTTTGCCGACTCCAATTAACGCCAGGCATGGATGAATGTGACCGCAATCACGTCCTGATCCTAGTAGGAAGAGTCCAAGTGTGAGTATGCCACCACTCTCCACTGAAGGACTCTCGAAATTGGTGAATATAAAAAGTCGTTTGGAAGTCCTGGGGCCAAGTCCCATTTACCGAGATTGCTCATTTCCTAGGAAATGGGGAAAGATGGGTAGAGCCGGGTAAGGCGACGAGTGCCGCTCTAACCCCCCCTACGCCCGCTTCCCTTCTACCTCTTTTCCCCTCCATCTCACCCGCTTTTCAAAAACATGCGAGCGGTGGAGGGCTGTGGATGACGAGGACTAAGGCCCTTCACTCGGAAAAAGAAAAAGAAAAAAAAAGAAAAACAAAAACACCCCTCTACGCCCCTACACCCCTGAACATCCCTCCCCT